CACGCTTTGCTCCGTTGTATGACATGGTCTGGTATGTACCGGCTTCATCTGTCATACTGTACCATGCCACGCTCTATCATGTGCGTTGTCACTGGTTCGAATGCGAAGTGCTTTGGTGGTGTGTTCGGTTATGCTGTGGCATGTCATGGTGTAGTTATGATGTAGGGTAGTATGCTATGGTCTGCGATGCTATGACATGTTATGCTGTGTGGTGGGTATGCCCTGTACTGTGTGCTCCGCTCAACCATTGCATGCGCTAGTATGTTATGTTATGGTAGTATCTGGTCTGTCATATGATGGTATGCGACGACATGCCCTGTTACAACACTATGAGATGCACGTTATGGTATTTAATGTTGTGGTCTGCATCACTCTTTCATGGTATGCAATGTCATGATATGGTATCATCGGTTCTATGATGCCGTGGTATGGTATGATCTGGTATGCCGCGGAGTGGGCATGTTAGAACGCTGGTCTGTTGTCTGTGAGGCATTGTAAAATTTGAGGAACCTCCCCCTCCCCACCCCTCGACGCGCGCGTGCCTACAACACCGCCCCTTCTGAAAACTAGGTCTGGCTGTCGTTTCGCCCACTGTACTGCCAATATGGTCTCCAAAGCGACTTCCAAGACAACAAATACGATGACAACACGGCTCAAGATGACTCATGACGGCTCAAGAGCCTCCCAAGTGCGCCTCAAGACGGCTCAACATAGCCCAAGAGTTCAAGAGGGCCTCACGACGGCCCAAGAGGCCCACGAGACGGCACGAGAGAGCTCCAAGGGGCCGTCCTGGAGAGCCCGAGGGGACCAAAACCTATGATTGTCCTTAGGTGTTTGAAAGATTTCGAGGTTCTCATCTGTTCGGGCTTCCGACCACGGAGGGCGACACAGGAGGCTTCCAGGAGGCCTCCACGATAAATCCAAGACAGCCCACGAGGCCACAAAAAGGGCCACAAGCCGGCCCACGAGGACCCACAAATCGCCCAAGGGGCTCAAAGAGGGCCCCAAGACGGCCCTGAAGCGCTCCAAGGGAGCAACAAAACGGCTCAAACAGGCCTCTTGGGCTGTCGTGGGTCGGAAACCCAGACATGCCAGAACCTCAACATCCTTCAAGCACCAACGGAACATCAATGGTTTTGGCCTCCTCGGGCTCTCCCGAAGGGGCTCTTTGAGACATATTGTGCAGTCTTGGGGGCCTCTTGATCTGTTTTGACGCCTCTTCGGGAGCCTGATGGCCTCCTGGGCGGCTTTCAGGGCAGCCAAGAAGACGCCAGGATGGCCCAAGATGGACCAAAACTGCTCAAGAGGCCTCCAAGGCAGCCTCAAGACAGATCAAAAAGCCCCCAAGACAACCCAAAAAATATTCAAGAAGCCCTCCTGGAGAGCCCGAGGAGGCAAAAACCATCGACTTGTCCCCAAGTGTTTGTTGCCGAGATTGGGCTGACGCTCCGTCTGTCTTTCCAGCCGAGAGAGCCGGCGGGCCTGAGTCGCCGAGGCAAACACAACGCCCATTGGGCAGAAGGTGTCCCGAAGCATGCAGTGGCAGCAGCCGCCGGCGCAGATGGTTGGAAAACACTGCTGGTCCACAAGCCAAAAAGTGGCTTGGAAGCCGCTGCGCAAGCGCACTGCTACAACGGTGCAGTGCTTCCCCATACGTTACGATGTGCCGTCTGGTGCACGCAGGTTGACCTGCTTGCTTGCCAAGACTGACGCCGAATTCTTCGAGGAATCCAGCCGAGCCAGACTGCTTACGGCGGATTACGGGAAGCGCCTTGTCGGAACGAGATGGTGCTGGCAGTTTGTTAGGCCAAGCTATCCAAGAACAGTTAGATAACTAAGACGCGAGAGACCATGACAACCCGGCTGCAAATATTTTTTCCTTGGCGGATGACGGGAAGCGCCCCTGGCGTGGACCGCTTGTTGGTGGTAAAATGATTATCGGGTACGCGCTGCACTTGAAAACTGCGCTGGCGGATTTTTCCCCACCATCCTGTGGTGTTGGGTCCTCGTTTTGAAGAGACGGTGCCCCGCGTCCTCCTCCTCCCTCCTCCTCTCTCCTCCCCCATCCTCCTCCTCCCTCCTCCCCCATCCTGGCTTTTGCTCTCCGCATGTCTCTGTTTCGGCACACCCCTCACACGTTTCGTGGCCCCATAGGGAGCTCCGCCTAAGGTCCCAGTGGCGGAACTCGCATGGCGCCGCCGCCCCATTTTGGCACACCCCTCACACGCTTCGTGGCCCCATAGGGAGCTCCACCTAAGGTCCCAGTGGCGGAACTCGCATGGCGCCGCCGCCCCATTTTGGCACACCCCTCACACGTTTCGTGGCCCCATAGGGAGCTCCACCTAAGGTCCCAGTTGCGAAACTCGCATGGCGCCGCCGCCCCATTTTGGCACACCCCTCACACGCTTCGTGGCCCCATAGGGAGCTCCACCCCAGGTCCCGTGGCGGAACTCGCATGGCGCCGCCGCCCCATTTTGGCACACCCCTCACACGCTTCGTGGCCCCATAGGGAGCTCCACCTAAGGTCCCAGTGGCGGAACTCGCATGGCGCCGACGCCCCATTTTGGCACACCCCTCACACGTTTTGTGGCCCCCTAGGGAGCTCCACCTAAGGTCCCAGTGGCGGAACTCGCATGGCGCCGCCGCCCCATTTTGGCACACCGCTCACACGTTTTGTGGCCCAACAGCCAGCTAGCACTCTCTCTGCTCCGCACAACGGACGACCCGCGCGCGTCGCCGGGACCCCTTCGGGGCGACCAGCGTGCGTCGCGGGGACTCAGTGCGGCGCCGCGCCCGCAGCCATGGACATCGGCGTGCACGGGCAAAGAGGCAGAAAAAGAAGGGGAAGGAAGCGGGCGCGATCCTCGTGAGGGGCGTGCCGACATGGGCGTCGACATTGATGCACGTAGACTGATTCGCACGCAGACACATTCACAATCATACTTACTCACGCTCAGGCTCACCCGGTCTCAGTCTCGCGCACTCAGAGCGATCGTCTTTGTTCGTATTGGGGACCCCGCCACGCATTTCGGCACGCCCCCTCACACGGTTCGTGGCCCCATAGGGAGCGCGAGCGAAGATGAGATCCACAATCGCGGTATTCACAACTGCATATGGTTGGGTCCTTCGCCAGGCTAATTGAAAAATGGTTGTTTCGCTCGAGATATCCTCCAAAAATTTGCCCAAGAGGGGACTCCGCATCGACGTCGTAATCGAATCGCTATTAGAAGGCTTTCCAACGGCCCAAGGGAAGCCCAAAAGACGCCCCGGAGAGCCCCAGGAGAGCGCCCAAGAGCGCCCCAAGAAGACCCCAAGAGACCCCCGAGAGCGCTCTAGGAGCCACCCAGCCAGCTCACAAGAACCCCAAGACGGCCCGAGAAGGGCCAAGAAGGCCCCAAGAGACTCCCGGGAGCGCCCCAGGAGGCCCCCAGCGCCGAGACGGCCTAAGAAAGCTCCCACAGAACCCCACGACGCGCCCAGACAGCCCACGAAGACCCCAGAAGCCCATAAGAGGACCCAAGGGGCCCCCAAGAAGCCCCCAACAGGCCTCAAGAGAACCCCGTGCGGCGCCAGGAGCAACGTCTTCATCCAATTGCCTCGTACTGTCCTCTGTCGTCGTCGTCGTCGTCATCATCGCCCTCCGCATTCCTCCTCGTGCTCGCCCTCGTACTCTTCGTCCTAGTCCTTGTGCTTCTCTTCCTCCTCGTTGTCCTCATGCTCTTCCTCGCTATCCTCACGTTCGCCACGTCGTCCTCGTTATCGACTCCTCGTTGTCCTCGCCTTCGTTTTCTTCTTCGCCCAATACGCCCATTACACTTCAGCGGCGCTTCCCGTTCTTGTCTGATCAGGTTCCCCTATTTTGGCCGTTTCGCTCGAGACATCCTCCGAAAATGGAGATGTTGGAGGCTATCGTTTTGCTAAACATTGGCATTTCGCTCGGGACATCCTCCAAACATGTGGATCTCGGAATCGCTCGCCTAATCTTCGGATCCTCGAAAATGGGCGTTTCGCCCGAGATCTTTTCGGAGCGATCTCGGATGACCCCCAAGATGGCCCAAGAAGCGAAAATATTGAAAAACCAACGTGTTTTCACACTTTCGTTGAAACATCAGCGTTTCGCTCGAGAGATCCTCCAAAAAATGCCTTCGGACGGTCCTCGAAGCCATCTGGTCTCCTCCTCCTCCTCCTCCTCTTCCTCCTGCTCCTCCTCCTCCTCCTCCTCTTCCTCCTTCTACTTCTCCTTTTCCTTCTCCTCCTCCTCCTCCTTCTCCTCCTCTTCCTCCTCCTGTTCTTGCTTTTTCCACCTCCTCCTCCTCCTCCTCCTCCTCCTCCTCGCGGCGGGTCGGGGTCCACGCAGTACTTATATAGCGATTTTGGGGTCCACGCAATACTTAGATAGCGATTTCGGGACCCAGGGAATACTCATATAGCGACTTCGGGACCAACGGGATATATAGCGATTTCGGGGGCCACGCAATACTTATATAGCGATTTAGGGACCCACATAATACTTATATAGCGAACGGAATACTTATATAGCGATTTCGGGGTCCACGCAATACTTATACAGCGATTTCGGGACGCATTCCGCTTTACGTGGGAATCCGTGTGCCTGCGCACGCAAGCTCAGAGAAGCGGCGCTTCCCGTTCTTGTCCGGATAGGTTCCCGCCTCCGGGGAGTCGGGCGTCGGCCCTGGCCCATGACACCGCTTGCACCGGTCACTCTTGCACGATCTCCATGGAGCCCGTCTCGGAGCTTCGGGGCGTTCACAGCCTCGAGCGCCGGCGCCGCGCCCCCCGCGCCGAGAAGGGCGCGGGCCCGCCGCACCCGAGCGGTGCACATGCAGCAGGGCTCGGCAGAACCTTGTTCCGAGGCGCGCGAATAGAAACAGAGGAAGGGGAGAGGAGAGAGGGAGAGCAAGCTGGAGGAGGGGCGGAGGGCGGAGGAGGAAAGGGCGCGCCGTGCCCGTGGCGTGGCGAACCGCGCACTCCGCGCAGAGTCACTCCGAGGGCAGCCACCGCTCCACCAGCGGCCTCGCCGCCTCGCTGGCCGGCAGCAGCACGGCGTTGACGGGCCCCGAGCGCAGCAGCACCGCGGAGTAGCTCCGAACGAAGGCGCGGAGGCCGCCGTCCTGGTAGAGCCGCGCGAAGCCCCTGAGCGCACCGGTGTACCTCCTGTCGGCGCCGTACGCGGCCTCTCCCATCACTCGGCTCTGCACCACGTCGAGGGGGTAGATGCTGGTCCAGCAGGCTATCCCCGAGAGTGCCCCTGCCATGGCGCAGTGGCCCAGCCAGCCGGGCGACGCCGTACCGGGCGTCGGCTGCGCGGGTTTAAGCCCGAGGTTCAGGAGCTCTGGCCTGGCCAGCGCCTCGTACATGGTGAAGAAGACGCCGAGCGCCAGCGGGAAGCGGGCAAAGCCCGAGAGGTAACCGCGAAAGAGGCCGCGGACGCCCTCGTGGCGCCACAGCCGCCCGAGGGCCTCTGGCAGGCTGATGCGGTTCACCTGCTGGTGCGTCTTTAGCACAAATAGCGGGTGCAGGGTGGCCGCGACGCAAGTGCCCGAGAAGGCGCCGCACAGGAAGATGTCTCCGAGGGGCAGGGGGCCGACGTGGCCGCCCCGCCGACGCTGAAAATACCCCTTTGCCGCCGCGAAGGAGCCAAAGCGTACGGAGTTGAACGCGGAATACTGTACGAGGTGCGGCATGATGCCGTAGTAGGGCCTCCGCAGCAAGCCTCCCAGGCGGCGCAGCAGCGGGTCCCCCGGCCCGCCGCCGAAGTGGCCGCTCTGCATCCGCACCTTCAAGGACTCGACCGGGTGGGAGACGAAAATCGCGCAGGCGGAGGCAGCTAGCCCACCCGTGGCGCCAATGGCGTAGTCGCGGTTTGGGAACACCCACAAATACATGGCGGCTGGACTCCAGCACCCATCATGTCATTGTCCGCTCGGGCGCCTGGGAGAATGAGCCTCAACGGCTCCAGGCCGAGTGCCTTGGGCCAAAGTGGCTGGAGCCAAAATGGCTACGGCGACTTGTCCCCAAGTTATTGGAAGATGTTGAGGTTCTCATCTGTGCGGGTTTCCGATCGCTCAAGTCGGCCCAACCAGCCTCCACGAGGCCTCCAAGATAGCTTCAAGACCGCCCAAGAGGTCCCCAAGAGGATCCGAAGTCGGCCCAAGAGGACCCACAAATTGCCCATCCAAGGGGCTCCGAAAGAGGGCCCCAAGACGGCCCTGAAGCGCTCCAAATGATCAACAACAAAAAACACACACATAGGCCTCTTGGGCTGACGTGTGTCGGAAACCCAAACATGCCAGAACCTCAGCATCCTTCAAACACCAATGGAACATCAATGGTTTTGGCCTCCTCGGGCTCTCCCAGAGGGCTTCTTGGAGACCTCTTGTGCCGTCTTGGGGACCTCTCGAGGGCCCCAAGAGGGCACCAGCGTGGCCTAGAGAGGCCCCCAAGGCAGCCGTCTTAGGCATCAGACGGGCCCAGGAGGCCCCCGAGAAGCTTTCAGGAAGATCTTGGGGCCCCCAGGAAGCCCCAAGAAGGCCCCAAGACGCCTTCTCCTCCTCATCCTCATGCTCTCCCTCTCCTCCTCCTCCTCCTCCTCATCCTCCTCCTCCTCCTCCTCCACCTCCTCCATTTCCTCCTCCATTCCCTCCTCCTCCTCTTCCTCCTCCTCATCCATTCCCTCCATTCCCTCCATTCCCTCCTCCTCCTCCTCCGCCTCCTCCTCCTCCGTACCGTGCTGACGAAGACGAAATCGGGATCACGAACCGCCCCACTGCAGAATACGCGTCGGAAGTGTGCTGTTTCTACGCTCGGCCTCCTCCCTGCTGCGTTGTTGCACAGGCACGGTGGCGGGGTTTGCCGCAAGCAGCTGGATGTGTTATGCTGTGTTATGTTACGCGCCACCTACCAAACCACCCCAACCCGACCCGAACTCATCGTTGGAATCGTCAATTTCCGGTGGGGGGGCACCCAAGAACACTGAGAAACCACGGTGGAACCCGTACCCCCCCCCCCCAAACCGGATTTTGTCTGTGGGGAGACCTGGGACGTTCAGTTTGGGTTGAGGTGGTGTGATAAGCAATGATGTATGATCTGCTATGCTGTATTCCGATGTGTGAAACCATTTCTATTATGAATGGTCCGCATTTCATCACATGCATGGTTATGGCATGGTTTGCTATGTTATGCTATGCCATGGCATAATGTGGAATGATATGAAATGGCATTGTGCTGCGCTATGTTGTGTTAAAGGATAAAATGCTATGTTGCACTCTGTCATGGTATACGTTGCCAGTGCATGCAATGGTATGTTGTGTGACGTGCTGATATGGTATGGTATTTCCTGTTATCGTATGTGATGGTATGATCATTAATGGCATGGTACGTCATGCTGTGCTGTATTGTGTGATGTTATGATGTGTGGTCTTCTGATCAATTGTGACAGGTTCTGTCGTGTTCGCCGAAGGGGCGAGGCGGGGTATCGGGGGATTATCTGTGGACATGGGGTTCTGGTGGCCGTGGTGTGAAAAGTGGGCGCGTCCGCGCGAGGCGGGGGTCTCAAAGGGATTGTCGCTGGACCTGCAGGGGGTCTGGCGGCCGTGGTATGCAGGGTGGACGGGCCGGGAGATCCGTTCAAAAAACGTACAGACCCCAACCTGTGAGGTGGGGAAGAAGCACCCCGACAAGCAATATCGTTTAGTAAAGCGCACCCAACGAAAGAATCGAGAAGGGCAGGACTGTTTAGTAACACGGCCGCTACTAAACGCCAACAAACATGGCCGGCGGCGAGCGAGGGGGGAAGTAAGAAAGAGAAAACCTTCTCACAAGGCGGCGTTTTTTTTTCAGAAGACCTCCGGCCTCCCTAGAGGTTTTCTGCATTTTCGGGTGAAACTCTGACAACTTCTCAGAGAGCTGGAGGACTGCCGAGTCCTCTGAGAAGGCCCGCCTCATTCTCACTTCCCCCCCTGGGCGTGCCGCCGAAATTGGGAAAACCCAGAAGGCACCGACCACCGCTACTCTCCAGACCTCGCCCAGGGTGCGTTCTGACCAGAATTGAAAGGCGAATCCAGCGGTGGCGACGAGGGCCCCCCAGGAGGCCCAACAATGAGAGAACGAGAGAAGGGTAGCGGTATTTGGTACCTTTTCTGCTCTGAGATGTGGGCGTCGGGGTGGTTTTCGACGAGAGCCCCTCGCTTTCGGGGCCTCCCAAAGGTGCGCACGCGTGGCAGTCGGGCTGGACTCCGCCTGAAAGCGCGGTGCACGCGCTCCCCGCTCGCACTGCTGCCCATACCCTCCGCGGAGCCGCTTGGCCGCCTGCTGCCGCTGCCGCTCTCCGGTCGAGCAGAAGAACTGACGACAGAGCTGATTTGACCCATACCTGTTTGTTTCGTCGGGGCGTCGAACACGATGCAGAAAGCTTCGTAGATCTACGGAAGAGTCTGCGCATCTCCGGCATGCTCGACGAACCAATCAGCTCTGGGGTAGGTCAATCCTGTAGTCGATCCCCGATTCGACCCTTGGCCCTCACCGCTGCCTGTACAGAGTCATCCTGGACGGGGCCCAGCCTGACTGCCGTCCTGGCGCACCCACGTGAGGCCCCCAAGGCGAGGGGCCTTCATCAAGGGAGGGAGGAACAACCAGCCCGACCCCCACACTTGGCGTTTACGAAACTCGAAGAAGAGAACTACACAAATACGACAGCCCTGAGCTCCGCCCCGATTTCTTGGATCTGCGCTGGACACCCCTGGCGGCGCAGGGCAGATGGGTCGAAGGATCGCGCCGCAGTGGCGATGCATCACCGATGCATCGGCGACGTCGGCGATACATCGGCGACGTCGGCGTGGGTTGAAGGAAGAGCACAAAGCACACGCGCCGATCCTCGCCAGGCTCATCCTCGGGCCAGGATCGGTGCACACGCCTTCGTGACCAGGCCAGGTAGGCATATATCCATATATATATACACACATACACAGATCCATGGCCCAAGATGGGCCTGGCCAGGATCGGTGCATACGCAAACTCTCCTCGCCCGAGTGGAGAGAATCGGGCTTCGCATCGAGCCACGTCGCCGATGCATCGGCGATGCGGCGCGATCCTCAGACCCCATCTCCTCCGACCCCAGCTGGGAGGCCCAGACTGTGAAACATCTCCTGCCGCGTGGCCCGCTGGCCGCCCCGCCGCCTCCCGAGCCCGCCCAGGCCGCGGGCGGAGAGGGACAGTCGGCCCCACGTGGCTCCCAAACCACCCCCCGGGGCAGCCAGAGGGGGTCACACAGTCAACCCGTGTCATGAGGAGGCGCGATAAGGATGCAAGGGCCTTGGAAGCCCATTCCGAAGCTTCTGGAGCGGGGCTCAGCCAACGAAAGTGGCCAAGGATGGACCGAGGGGGCAAGGATGCAAGAGTATCCTTGGGAAGGTCGCCCATCCTTACTATGATGACTGACTGTCGCGCTGACCCACGTTGGCGCGGACCACCCGTCTCGTAGGCCCGATTCTCTTCGGGCCCCGAGCGCCCGACGACTGCCTGCAGCTTCTCGCCGCGCTGGTAATGCCCTGCGCTCGGGGAACGAATTGTGGCATAGACATGCACTTCCGGAGGTCCGCGCGGATTCCTTGGGCTCACGAACGATGAGCTAAACGAGGCCAGGCGATGTGCAGCTACGCCGAAACAGATTCAGATACTGTAATCTCAACGTAGCTGCGTCATCCTGAAGGCCTGCCAGGGAAGGAGGCTGGGCTCCAGCGTACCGCCCTCCAAAAGACAACACGGTAAGCAAAACCTCGGACCTCAGGCCTGGAACGGAACACGTCAGCCCGGCTCAGAATCGGCCCTCGAGCTCCTCCAGGGCACCGTCATGCCGACGAGGTCGTATGAAGGCAACTCACGCCTTTCGCTGTCAGGAAAAGAAGAATGGACACGCCAACACGCAGACAAACACACACACACACAACAAGCACCCAGAAACACAAACACAAATACGAACATAAACACACGCACAAACTTACCAAAATCCTGACATAGGCCACCGCGAGATGGAGCCAACGTAATCACAGCCAAAAGCCGACGGCAAAGAGCTGGAAGGGACAAGCTGATCGAGCCCCGGTCCTGGCAACGCTGGGCAAGGCCCCTTCCCTACTTCCACCCATGTAGGTCGCCCCGATGTTGAGCTTGCTGCCCACGACCGCGAAAGGAAAAACGGCAGCGCCCCCCCTATCCCCCCACTGGATTGAGAAATGCTACATGCTGAGGAGCAGGCCATGGACAGAAATGTTGGGCCTTTCATCCATCGTCCATCGCCCGTCCATCAGCCACCGATCGCTATCCGAAGCACGCACTTGAATCGTTGCTCACGAGGCTCGTCGCACCAATCGCTTCAACGACCGCTGCGCTGCCAACACGCAAGCGGCCGAGTACGTCGAGCATCCCCGCGGTCGTGCACCAAGCCAAGCCCGCGAGCCACGCTGCGCCCATGGCGGCTCACCGCCGAGGGGACCGCCGAGGCCGACGATGGTGAGCGGGTGGCTGACCCTGAAGCCGCGCCCCCCCAGCGAGATGCGGCCGTCGCCCCGCGACACGTAGTCCCTCGCGAGCTCCCCGGGGTTCGGCAGCCGAGCCGCTCCCCGAGGCCTGCCGGCCGCTACAGGCCCCTGCGCAGCCAGCCCGTCGGCCACCTCTGCTGCGATGCCCAGCGAGGCCGTGAGGCCGGTGCTGCGCACCCCCGCCACCACGGTGCGCTGCTCCTCTGGCATGGTGCGGATGACGTAGTCGGTGCCCCACCTGCCGGGCTCCAGGGCGGGCCGCAGCCCCGCGTAGTGGCCCGCCAGGGGCCAGCCGCGCAGCGCCGGGCACACCTCGAGCGCCTTCCGCTCGAGCTCCGCGAGCGTGGCGGGGT